GGACCTACGGTGCGACATCAACAAACGCCGAAGCATCGATTGTCGAAGTTGCGCGAAACTATTGCAGACAATTACTATTTCACCTCAACTTGCCTCTTGGAAATTATGTTCGGCGTTCCATTGAAAATCCTGACGGATGTCATATCTACGGCCCAGGCAATCAAGATTCAAAAAGCATAAAAACCATCTTGCTCTGTCCTAGAGTTGCTGGCACAAGCATCAAACGAATAGGATCGAAGGCGGGGGGAGTAGCTGTGCGATTGTGGATCGGACGCTCTTCACGACATCCTACATCCTCAACATTGAGAACAGATTGATTATAATACCAGGGCCTTGCAGGCTTGTAGTTCCACATAAAAGAGAGATTGATTTCGATTCCAACAAATAAAAACAATGCACATCTTCATTGCGCTTCGTCATTAAGGCGACACCATTTCTGAGGACTATTGGAGGTCGGCCGGGAGGGCATCATACTATGCTCAGTAATTAGTCGACCCGATTCATGAGATCAGGATAAAGCTTACCGCAGGGCAGAGGGTTTCCCAGGCAGCGTTCGGGTGAATCTGTGCACGGTCGTACGTCGCTGACACCAGATGCCGTTACGATCGCAAGTCCCGCTTGCATATGCCAGAAGTTATGGCAGTGAAGGAACCAGGTTCCTAAGCCGGACCGGGTGAATAACCACAATGTCAACATACACAAGAGGCTACTCACCAGGCCTGTCAGTAAAGAATTGGAGTGTGGTACCTACAGCTCCGACACCGGCAACCTGAGTTGACACATGTCTAAGACGATTGCTTTTGCAGTATGGAAAATGTGAGCACGTCACGACGGATGGGGTTCGCGAGGTTAAGCAAATCGGAGCTGTTTGATTGACAAAAAAGAAATTGTTCTAATGGAGCGTCAACAGATGTAATAAGTGCGTCCCAATGAATGCATACGCACTCCATGAAGATGGAATGCTGACGGATAGTACGTTTCAAATATTTCCAAAGGAAACAATTGCCCACTTACGATGAACCTCGTCTTCATCACTATATAGAAGCAATGAGATCGACTGGAGCACTCTTATTATAGTATGTTTTACTTAGGAGGGTACACAGCTTCAACGGCGGTGTTCTTGGGAAGAATTATCGTGTTCTCGGTGATATTAAACGTAGGTTCATTGTTGGCACTGTCCAAGACCTTGACGAGTGTAGGGACCTCATGAGGTAAGTACGAAACATTGTTGACGTTCCACTGTGCTTTGCCAGCTGTCTGAAATGATCAGACCTTTTAGTGCCTGTCACTTGAGTTCGCCACTAGTCACCTGGAAGTAATGTGAGGGAGAGTTGGAAAACATGGATGAACTCGATGATTACCGACGTGCCACATCTACAAGTAACATTTAGTACATGACATCTGGCAGTAGACCCTGTTTGAATACATACCGTGTCCTGGTCATTGATATCATACAGGTTAGACGGAGGATCTTCAGGATCTTCGTGATCATGATCGTTATATATATCAATATATCAGGGTGTATGAGGAATAGAAACGCACCATAGACAATGAGAGGACCGCAGAAACTCTATGTAGTGTATGCTTGTAAACTATTATGACAGAGAGAGCTTACATCCACATACTGAACGCTAAGTTGACTGCAATGACATCATAGGTAACTGAAAGTGTAAGATTCCTCAATGACCGTACCTGTGATACCACAATGTACCTGTCTGGTTGTTAATGAGTGGAACAGCGTAGGTAAAGCTAGCTCTAGGTGCAACAGGGCAGGTAGTGACTGATGGTGTCCCCTCGTCAAAACTATTCTGCCTCGCGAAAAAGATGCCATTGAAATCCTACCAAGAATATGAACGGATGAGATCCAAACACTCACATGGGTACTTACCAAGCTGGTGCTGCGGGCGCATTGTCGAGTCTGTCTGGGCAAACAATGCCAAATAGCAGCCAGAAGGCATGAAGGTAGATATTGATGAGGCGGTTATAGTCTCGCCTTTTAACATCAGAGTTCAAGCGAGGGGGTTTCACTTAGCATAAACACAACCGTCAAATGCTCGAAGATACGAAGCACGATGAACGTCTTATGTTGGACAGAACTCTAACTCTTGACAAATTCCTGACCGCGCTTTACCTAGCAGACAATCACTGGGGTTCGCATGACGTACCGATGGGCCGAACGTTGAATGATGCGGCTTGGGATAGTGAGCCTTCGGTTGTCTGCGGAAGTGTGCAGCGAACAGATACATCAGGGAGGTTGCAAAGGTGGATGTTATGTCCTGGCATTCAGAGAGAAGGCGTAATGGCCGATTTGCGCCTTAGAGAGGACGCGGCTGGAAAGAGCATATCAATCGACTTTTTCAGATATGTAGAAGGAATAAATTGATAATCCAGATGAGGGGACACGATAGTGCCTGTAGTGCCTTTGACCGTTCATTTCGTTGCTCAATGGCGGCAGAGATCGATCCACAGTTTCCAAGCAAACGTTTTGGATTTCTACATATAGTGCATCAATATTCATAAGATGATTAATCCGGTATGGTGTAACGGCTAACATTGCCGCCTTTCATTCTGTTGGATTATTCGCGGCAGCTCGGGGTTCGATTCCCCGTACCGGAACTTCATTTTGTTACGGCAGCAGTTGTGTCGATATTATCTCTTGAAAATGAAACGCAGTCCATGATGCTTTACATCGCAATTGTAACTGAATATTAATTGAACTCTATTGCATTATCAGAAACGTTCTGGTTTCCAAGTTTCACATGTAAGCAATCACAAAACCCCAGACTGCAGGATTGTTGTCCGATCCAGTTCCGCAATTGGAATTGAGAGGAGCGCCATCAACTTCAAGATAGAGAGAGACCTTCAAGTCCATTTCAAATGTAAGAAAAATACGTCTTGATGTATTTGTATTGACAGCAAAAGGAAATCCCAAGGATATTCATACGTATAAATTATATGTGAAAGGGATGTCAGGGAAGAGACCTACATACTAACAATGTTTGACATGTCTATTTTTCAAATATTGCTGGACTGCAGCCTCTACATTGTACCTATACAATCCATCTGGAGCAAATCAATAAAAGAAACTAAAATATTTATGCTACTCACCAAGATTATCCACAAAGAAATTCTGAACCTTCTGTGGTAGCCATGGATGCTTCTTTTTTTCCTCGTCCTTCTTTGTCAAATTCAGAAATTTTTGGACCCTTTCCATCCTCACATCTTCATATGCCCTCACCATACATTTCAGTGCATCCTTAATGACAAGTCCATCAACCTCACGGAACTTATGCAACAAGATCCCAATAGCAATTGCATCCTCAATGGCACTCGATGCACCCTGTTTGGATATGTAAGGGATAACATGAGCAGCATCACCAAGGAGAAGAATCCTTCCAGTGCCAGAGGGAGAGCTCCATAATGGCTGGCGCAGTTCACCCTCCTTTGGTATAAAGAAAAGATCGCTTTGTCTTGTGCATCCAAGTTTGATGATCTCTTTGTATGGAGACATGTCAGAGGAATCATGAGGAGGTTTCCACAAAGCATATTGAGAGAGAAGATGAGCACGGACAGCTAAAGGATGAGCACGGACAGCTAAAGGATGTGAATGAGACTGATCGGGAGGAGTTATGGATTCATAGATTGACCACCATTCGACGCTTGGGTCATCATCAGGTGTCATGATGGTTTGGGAGTACCCAAGGAGGAGTCCTGATGGGCCAGACGTCATAATTACATCTTTGGTTTTGAGGTTCTCTCGAATGCGTGGGGAGAGCATGGAAAAAGGGATGGATCCGCCTACGCCCGTGAACCCCCTGTAGTCAAGTCAGCATCTCTCCTCTCAGCTGAACTTCGCGCAACTCACTCATAAACCGGTAGGCTTCACGTTTCTGGTACACATGCCAACGTGGGTCACCACCAAACTTGAAGAGATTAGGTTCTCTGAGCGGGGCGTAAAGTTCTCCAGAAGTACATTCGCGAACCACACTCCAAATGCCATCAGCACCAATCACAAGGTCAGCTACATCAGAAGAGCCGTTGGCAAATATCACTTCTACACCTCTTTCATCTTCTTCAACAGACCGAAGCTTTGAATACCAGATAATCGCATTCTCAGGGACTTCCAGCAGGAGCGCCTCATGCACAACAGCCCTGCGGACTATCATCTGGTCAAACCTATGACGTTTCCTGCGTCCAAGCCATGGATGCCCCTGGAAACGGCTAGAAGGATCTTGAAATGGGTCTGTATACCTATTTTTTTCGAGGTGTTCAATGGCATTGGAAGATAAAGAAGCAATAGCGCGTAAGCCGTTGGGAGCAAGGCTTAAACTGCCTTCAACCCCTGTAATGGTTGATGGTCCATGGCATTCGTATATTTTGATAGTGACCTTGTCGTTCGCGAGGTATTTCTTCAGAGAAAGATAGGCAGATAGTCCTCCTATATCAGCGCCAATGATGATGACCTTCATGGAGGAATCTTGTCGTAAATGCGGGTTCTAAGGGAACAGCTTTTAGAGGCTTTTATGAATCAGGCCTCGTGGAGGCCGCATGTACTACACGTGAAGTCCTGCTGAACTTTCACCCTTCGTCGGCACGCCACTCGGCCGTGATTCCTTCCAATCAGCTACCTGCCTCCGGCTAACCCTCGGCATCGGTGTCAATACTAGGCCACGTCGAGAAGTCTCTTGTCTGGACTGGGAAAATGTGCATCCTATCGTCTTTCTCGTGTCTACAATGAAACCTTATCTGACGTGAGCGCTTCACATTGTTCTCCCTTTGATTGGACTCACAAATCCAGTAAAGTTCATGATATTGGAAGCAAGCTCCACATTTCGAATCTAATCCATTTTCTGTCAGCTACTGGTAGTGGTCCCTCTGGCTTCGTCATCTATGCTTCGTACCAAACGTGTTCTCCCTGATGTGGCTCCGCTCTTGAATACGGATGTGGCGTCGCTTCGATACTCTGTATCTTATCTCGTCTCTCACTGGCAATACACATACGTAATTTGGGAATTCTTTCATTTCCCAGTTCTCTAAATTCTCCAAATAGTGAGCTTGATGTATGTAGGATGCATGATACTGTATGGGACCATTGCATGAGCTCTTCCGACTATACTATGCAGTCTGACCTTGTTCACTTTTTCAAATACTGGTCAACTGCAGCCTCCACATCGTACATATACAACTCATCATTGATCGATTCCGGAAGTTTACCTT